GGCGGTTCAGATGGGTGTAGATGCTAGTGTTCAACGAATCGCCGCGCTAGAGAAGGTCGTCGACGTCAAACGACAGAGACGGAGAAGAAGCACTTGAGCAGCTAATCTTCAACCCTCACCGGTACGTTTTTTTTCAGACTGACACAAACATGGGGTTCGCTTCCGACCGCTCGTCCGTTTCCTCCGCCACCAAATGGCTCTGATTCGTCACCGCCGTCTGGGTTCAAGCTATTTCCGGCAACAATTACTCTTTCTCCGTCTCCTCTGCTCCTCCCGGTAATCGCTGGATCGTTGTGTGACGTTGAAAAACAGATCGAGACAGGGGTCGCCGTACGCCTTAAAAACCTTGTTATTCTTGTTATTTTTCTTCTCCAGAAATCTCCATATCCAGGTCGACAACAGCAACCGCCGAAACCGAATCGGGAGCAGCCATTGCTCTTCTTCCTTTTCTTGTCCACGTCGGGATTATTGGGAGAACCGAATGTCGGGATTGACGAGCCATTGAAATAGTTGTTAGAATTGTTGTTGACCTTGTGGGTGTAGTAAGGACAAAGAGGTTTCGGGCTGCTCTTGTCGGAATAGCAGCCGTCGTCAAACACCCTGGCGTACAAGGACTTTAGGGTACAAACCCACCACGGATTTGGGCCAGCGGGCTGAGGAAGTTCGTCAAGTGGTACGTCAGTTATTGGGAAGGAATCGGGGTCCGGGTAGAATCCCATTGGATTGGACTACAAGGATCAGCTTGGTGTTGGGTGCGGCTTGTGGCCTTGCCAGGATTCATGAGGTGTTGAGCTCTGCAAAAGTACCGCATGGCAATATCAAAACTTCCGACGTCCTTCTGGACAAGAAAGGCGTCGCTTGCATTTCCTCCCTGCACCATGTGGGGAATATATATAAAAAAATGAAAGGGGACAAACCAGTCTGGAAAGAAGAAGAAATGGTGGAATATTGGTGGATCAGCACCACCATGAGCAAGAAAAGAAAAGAAAATATAAAAAAAAAAAAATGGATGGTGCATCAGGCACCATGTGCAAAGAAAATAAAAAAAATTAAAAAAATATAATATATATATATATATATATATATATATATATATATATATATATATATATATGGACATCGCACCATGTGCCAGCAAAAAAAAAAAAAAAAAAAAAAAAAAAGTATATAATAAATTAAAAAAGAGGAGAATGGAATGGTGGTGTCGGCATGGGCATCATGTGAATATATATATATATAGTGAATCCTTGGTGGCTAGCACCATGCAAAAAAAAAAAAAAAAAAAAAAAAAAAAAAAAACAAAAAACAAATGCATCGAGAGAAATAAAGTCCGTTTTTTATTTATTTTTTCTGGAAATTTTACATAAATTTGCATTATACACACTTAAAAAAAAAAATCAAATTTACAAGAGGGGATCTTCAAGGACGATTAGGTGCCGCCTCACCACTCGGCAGAGCTCCAGAAATGAGAGGCGTCGGAGGTTGACTATTTGAAGCCACACCACTCAGCGGAACTCCAGGAAGAAGAGGAGCCGGAGGTTGATCATGAGGAGCTTCATTACGCGGTACAACCCCAGAAGACGAAGGCAAATGCTGCTGGAACAAACCCACAAACCTCTGATGATCAAGTAAAATCTCACCATCAGATTCCTGCATCTGGTCAATCTTCCTCTTCATGTTTGTCGCATAGCTATGTGCGAGCTTATGCAACTGTTTGTTTTCCTGCTTGAGCCCTCTAATCTCCTGTTTGAGACTCATCACTTCAGCCGCCAATGATTCAACTTGACGGGTTCGAGCAAATAGGCGTTGGGCCATATTAGACACAGAACCTGCACACTGCACACTGAGAGCCAGAGAATCCTTAACAGCCAACTCATCAGACCGTTTGGAAAGTAGTCTGTTATCTCTGGGAGTGACAAGGTTCCGGGCCACCACCGCAGCGGTCATATCATTCTTCACCACTGAATCCCCAACGGTAAGAGGACCAGTGGGGGATATGAAGGATGGGCGCCATATGTTGTCTGGAGAAGAAGGGACTGCCTCTTCACCAAGATTCAAGTCAAAACGACGATCGGAGGGGCCAGACATTTTCAAAGGTGTTAAAGAAAGAAGAGGTCGGACAAATCGAGATCTTAGAAGTGCAAGAAGGTACAAGCAAAAAATTCAAGTGTGCTTTGAAATGAACTGCCTGCCTCTATAAAAGATCAGCACTCGACGGGATTTCAGAGATCGAAGAGGCAAGCTCAGAATTCGAAGAGGCCATTCAAAAATCGAAGAGGCAAGCTCAGAAATCGGAGAAGCATCTTGCTTTTCCAGACACGTCGGCACCCGTCACACGCAAACTCAGCTTTGCGGAAATCACGGGTAATTTGTCGAAGCGCCGATCCCAGATATCGAAGAGGCGCCAGTCTTTTTCAGCCGCGTCATCACCTATCATATGCACACTTAACTTTGCGCAAATCACGGGCAATTTGTCGAAGATTTTCGGTGAAGGAGAAAGCACGTGAAAGTTTACTGTTCAATCACGCGTTAGTTGCCGACACAAGTGAAAGAATAGTACCTCTACAGGTATTAAGGGACCTCCTATAACTGTCCACCTTCACCTTCCATAGCGAGGCAGACATACAGAGCCTTTCTTCATCTCCAAAAAAATGTTTTCCCAACGAAGCCTCTCGAGTCATTCAATGTTCCTTATTCCTTGGGGTACCTCTGCAAGCCAATGACTCCAAAGCAAAAGTATCTCATATCACCAGGGTAGAAAGCAAGAGTATCTCATATCATGCGTTCTCCCTGTCCTTTCCTTTGTCCTTGTTCTTACTTACAAAGACAAGGATAAAGAAAACAATATGCCGGAACCTCCACTCAAACTCGGGTAAGGAACCGACTGCTTGGAACCCTTCCCTGATTGCCTGCCTAGCACTGCTCTCAAGTACTCGTCTCCCACTGCTGCTGTACTTCCATAGAAGCTGTCACATCTGTCTGGAGAACAGATAAGGCAAGTGAAAATGATACCTTGCAGCATGTGGAGACAACGTGCTGAAGAAACAAGCTGAGAAGACTGCGGCCTGCACAGTCAACTCAGCAGAAGGAGTCCGAGCTGAAGAACTCGAGAAGATGCCACATTCTGCCAGAAGAATAGATAAGGCAAGGGAAATGATACATTGAAGCATGTGGAGACAAGCACAAAGCACGTGCCGATTCATCCGCTACTTCTTCAAAATCAAAAGTATCTCATATCATCAAAGTTGCAATCACTCTGTGTGGAGGACTCGTTTTGACCCTCAAATTCTTGGGTCGACTTACTAGACGTTGTGAGCTGCACGGGTCGATTCACCACCCTTGAATCAAATCCTTAAAGATCAAGTCACCGACTGGAAGAAAAGCCCATCAATCTTGAAGATCATACCGTTGACCAAACTGCTCAGGTGTGAATTAGAAAGATTGAACAAAGAAACAGGTTGCCACCTTTACCTCGTGCCTGCTTGCCATGTGTTCGAGTCAACCTTCAAAGAATCAAGCCTCAACGGCCCTTGAAGAAGTTTCCAACCAAATTCAACACCAAGCCTCGACGACCCTTGAGGAAATCACAAGTCCGATTCAAGATTAAGTGTCTACCACCCTTGAATCAAAACCTAGTTCAAGAATAAGCTGTGGAAAATCAACAATTGGAGGAATCCAGAAAATCCTCCAACCCAGTTCAAGATCAAAGCTGTGGAAAGTCAACAAGCGCAACAAAATACGTGCCGATTCACCCACTACCAAAGCCAAAGATCATCTACCACATGAAGCTCCTTGTGGTCCAATTTCAACCTTCAAGATCAAGCCTCGACGGCCCTTGAAGAAATTTCAAACAAAAGTTCAAGAACAAGCCTCAACGGCCCTTGAAGAAATCTCAAGCCCAATTCAAGATCAAGCCTCAACGGCCCTTGAAGAAATCTCCAGCCCAATTCAAGATCAAGCCTCGACGGCCCTTGGATCGACATCTACAGTAGGGGACTTCAAAACGCATCTCCTACACATGACAAGCACATGTATACGACGCGCCTTGAAGTGGGGGCATTTGTAGACATCGAAATTTCGGTAAATAAATGTTGACCGATAAATTAAAGTGTCAACGCTCATGTATTACATAAATTTTACACGTAGCGTGTGACTCAACGAAAATTGAAATGAGTTGGAAAAGTCATCAAATAGGACACGTGTCAACACCTGGCAGAAACGACTTATTTCATCTGGGATATTATATTCAAAATTAGGCCTTGGAAAATTCTATAAATACAAGCCTATTTCATTCATTTTAAAGAGACCAAAAAAAATCATTAGGCAAAACTCTTGAAGCTCTGAAGCTCTGAAACTCCGAAGCTCTCAAGCATCCAGGTTCCCGAAGAATCAAGAAAGCGTTCTTCGTTCATCGTTCATCCTAAGATCAAGCCCCAACGGCCCTTTGGATCAACAATCATCCACCAATTCAAGATCAAGCCCCGACGGCCCTTGAAGAAAGTGTTCTTCGTTCTTCGTTCTTCGTTCATTGTTCTTCCAAGATCAAGCCCCGACGGCCCTTGGATCAACCATCCACCAATTCAAGATCAAGCCCCGACGGCCCTTGAAGAAAGCACCATCGTTCATCATCCGTTCATCCAAGATCAAGCCCCAACGGCCCTTTGGATCAACAACGTCGACAAATCCACACATCCAACCGTTCTTCAAGATCAAGCCCAAAAGCCCTTAAAGATCCGTTCATCACTGTTCTTCAAGATCAAGCCCAAAAGCCCTTGGAGATCCGTTCGTCACTGTTCTTCAAAGATCAAGCCCAAAAGCCCCTTTGAAGATCCGCTCAAATCCACCTTCAAAGATCAAGCCCACGGCCCCTTGAAGAAACTTCCAACTGTTCATCCAAGATCAAGCCTCGACGGCCCTTGGATCAACGAAACACCAACCAATCAACACCTTACGGAGATCGAATCAGAGGATCAAAATAGAGAGAGATTGTAACCCAAAATCATCAAATACAAATATTTGTTTGTGCACGTCGTTGTTCTTGTCTCTTTCGTTTCAGGAATTTTCCGTGTTCACAATATCATATGAAATTCCAGTTGCAGGTTGCGTCTGAGAAATTAATTCAAATTCAAAGAAATTCATGAACTGGAAATGAAACTAGACAATCAATCACACTCTTGATCATAGAACGAAACAAAGACGAAGAAGAACCAATATGGCAAGTCGGGAACTCTAACGGTACATTCCCGGTGTGACGTATGGAGGTGCAGGGTTTCCACCTTGGTTCATTTTCTGAGCATTGGCGATCCAACCTGTGTATATTAATATTCCAAAGAAAACAAATTGACATTGAAGATCAATATATTATAAGCAAAATAATCATGCATAATCGAAGCTACGAATATGAGGTTTAGGTTACCTATGGAGGGGTCTAATCCGCGGTTTTTGAGCTCCCGGTACTCCTGGGAAATAGCACAACAAGGAAGCAAGCAATGGACACAACAGTCCGCACATGGATCTTCAGGCAATGCATAGAGACCTCTCAGTTTGGATCTAAAGGAGAACGAGTACAAACAAGCACACCCCACATAGGCAAGAGCAAAGTAGATTAAACCCCCGAAAGCGCACGCTGCAATACATAGTATGTAACAAATTAATAAAATTAAGGCATGCATCATCAAATTATATTGCTAAATTACCATATGATTAATTCAACTCATTTAAGAAGTCAGGGTTGACTTACATGTTGTTCCTTTATCTATAATCTCAGCATTTTGCCCAAAGGTTATGCAGGGACAGCAGCATGTCATCATGCCTAATTAATCACAATCATATTAACATGGAAAAATTAATTAAATCAATAAGAATTAAATTGAGATTCCTAACATATTAGCAGAGATGACATTATAGATAAAAGGGTCAATTAATTATTGGGACTTACAACTGCCAGGATCTTCAAAGCAACCACAAAGACCTGTTGTCCATTGTGGCGGCCCCTGTTGTTGGTAGCCGTAAGTTGCTGCCTGTGGAGGCGCCGCCTGCTGATAACCATATGCTCCTCCTTGTGGAGCTTGTTTAGGATCACTGTTGTAATTAGGATGCATTTTGATCTTTTTGTTTAATTAAACTAAAGGAAACAAGAAGGCCCAAGTGTGAAATGAGTTGAGAGAGGGGTGGCCTTCTGCAAGGATGAGTTTAGTTCATATATAGAAAATTGCTCAACCTAGGAAGTTATTAGTGGTTGAATAACGCAGCATACGTAATTTGCTTAGGTCAATGATTAAGCAAGTTCATAGAAATAGTCGACGTACTAATATTATTGACCTTTTCAAAATACAAATCTGGATTGCGCTAGCTGCCAGCATTTTTCTGCGTTTGCAAGAATCTAATGACATTGAAGGAAAGATGAGAGAAAACCGGTTACGGTGGTTTGGACATGTGCAAAGAAGGCTTACTGACGCTCCAGTTCGAATATGTGACTACGGGACAAAGGTTCAGGGCTGAAGGGGTAGATGAAGATCTAGGAAAACTTTGGAAGAGACCTTAAGAAAAGACTTAGAGTACTTGGATCTAACGGAGGACATGACATAGAACCGAGCGCAATGACGTTCTAAGATTCATATAGCCGACCTCACTTAGTAGGAAAAAGCTTTGTTGTTGTTGTTGCAAGAGTCTAATGACATTCTGGTCAAAGTAAACTCTTATGCAATTCCATGCACTACATTATTATCCACCAGACACTAGACAGTGATCAACAGAAAGGATACAAAGAGAGTGTTTGAAAGGAACGGAATCACCAAAACCATGTATTGGTCGACCAGACATGGCCTAAGAGTAATTAAAGTAATAAATGACTTCAAATCTATATATAAAGCCAACACTAAAATGAATAGTGTTTTTTGGTGTCACAAGCTTCAACAAAAATGCCCCTCAAACAAAAAACTTCAAAGGCAACCCAAAATAATGCATCAAATGTGACAGAGGTATTTTCGTCATTTTAACAGTGTTTTTTAATAATAATTTTTTTTGTACTTTTTTAAAAATTAATTCCTCACAATGTGTTAGCAATTGTGTGATTCAATCAGCTGTTCAATTAATATTATTTTCTTTATTTTTAAACACATTCAAAACATTTTAAGAGGCCTGTAATGCCAATTATAAAAAATGTTTTTCACACGCAAATAATAATATGATTAAATTAGTTGTCAAGTGATTTTTTTTAACAAACGATATTATCTACACTAAGGGAGAGGGGGTGGGCTTAACCTTACAATGAACTAGCAATAATGTGATTCAATCAGTTGTTTATTAAATATTATTTTCTTTATTCTTAATGTAAATTTTATAAAGACCGATTTTATTATGTGGATTCAGTGCTTTAATTGGTTTATGAGGGGTTTCTTCTAGCATAATCTAAGATTATTCATTTACTTCAAATATTTGACTTTCCTTTTGTCAATTTACGCATATAAATACATTTAAAACGCTGCATGCGCTCACATTAAAGGTGAATAGTACTTTTTGGTGTCACAAGCTTCAACAAAAAATATATGGACGAAAATGCCCCTCAAATAAAAAACTTCAAAGGCAACCCAAAATGATGCATCAAATGTGGCAGGTGTATTTTTGTCATTTTAACATTGTTTTTTTAATAATTAATTTTTTTGTACTTTTTTTAATTAGTACCTCACAATAGGCTAGCAATAATGTGATTCAATCAGCTATTCATTTATTATTATTTTCTCTATTTTTTCAATTTATCAAAGCGTCATATACTGAATTGCGTTCATTTGAAACGACTTGTTAAGTAATTGAAAGTGCTTTTGTAAAATTGATTTTGGTTGCCAAAAGCCCTTCAATTGTTTGTTTAGGAAGCACCATATTTGTGCTTCTTGCAGGCTGCACTTTAAGTGTTTTTTTAGGATCTACTTGGATTTTGTACTGAGATTGGTTTCAGATTTATTTTCACTAAGAAACATTTTCAGTCATTTTAAAAGTATTTCTAAACGATCCCTAGCTTCTCCTTACGTACGTCAAAAATGAAAAATGAACCATTGACTCCAGCTCCTAGGTTTATGCCTAGGTGATGGTGACTTGAGCGAAAGGTAGATTAAAAAAAAAACCCACAAAATAGAAAATATGAACAATCAACAATAGGATAGACGGCATTGCTAATTTAGGTCATAAATTTGATCATGCAAATATTTGGTTATATAGTTTTTCTATGAAAGTTATAAATATAGTTAAGAGTATGTTTGAATATGTTTTTAATATTTGAATGAATTTTTTTTATAAAGGTGCAAAAAGTCACATCACATGTCATCTTTGATCACTTGAGTCTGATAAAAGAGAAAAATTTTAGTATACTCAAGAACACAGCCTGCACCAAATGTTACAAAATAATTGGTTAAAAGTTTTTATTTTTTAAGTATTGAACCAATTGTTTTGTGACACTCGTATTCTTAGTACACTGGAAGGCCTTTGGTTTGAAAATAAAAAATTGCTCTGTTTTTAATTATAGAGGATGAGATGAACTATAGTTTCGTAAGTTGGGTTATATTTAATTCTTTAATTATATACATAAGCACTTTAGAAGCTTTGACTTTAACAAACCCCTTATATACACAAAAATATGTGTTCTTAGTACTTACACATTTGAACATCAACGATCATTGATCAAGCTGATTAACTATTTTATTAATTTTTTTTAATTATATTCATTGCATGACTATGAACATCAACATCAATCATTGATCAAGCTGATTAACTATTTTATTAATTATATTCATTGCATGACTATGAACATCAACATCAATCATTGATCAAGCTGATTAACTATTTTATTAATTTTTAATTATATTCATTGCATGAGAATTCAACCCAAATAATGCATCAAATGTGGCAAGGATATTTTTGTTATTTTAACTGTTTTTTAATAATTAATTTTTTTTGTTATTTTTTTTAATAAAATTACTACCTCACAATAGGCTAGCAATAATGTGATTCAATTAGTTGTTCATTCAATATTATTTTCATTATTTTTAAACACGTTCAAAACATCTTAAGAGGCGTATAATGCTTGTCATAAAAAAGGTTTTTCGCACGCAGAAAATAATGTGATTAAATTAGTTATCAAGTGAATTTTTTTTAACAAACGATATTATACACTAAAGGGGAGGGGGATGAGCTTAGCCTCACAATGAGCTAGCAATAATGTGATTCAATTAGTTGTTTATTAAATATTATTTTCTCTATTCTTAATGTAAATTTTATATAGAGAGATTTTATTATGTGGTTTCAGTTGCTTTAATTAGTTTATGAGGGGTTTCTTCTAGCATGATATAATATTATTCATTTACTTCAAATATTTGACTTTCCTTTTGTCAATTTACGCATATAAATACATTTAAACCGTGTAAGTCGTGCGTAGCACACCGTGATTCAAAAAATACCTTCTGCACGCGCTCACGCGCGTGGATGAAGGCTATCTTCTATATATAAAACCAACAATAAAGTGAATAGTAGTTTTTGGTGTCACAAGCTTCAACAAAAAAATTTGGACAAAAATGCCCCTCAAACAAAAAACTTCAAAGGCAGCCTAATATAATGCATCAAATAATGCAGGGATCTTTTCGTCATTTTAACAGTGTTTTTTAATAATTATTTTTTTGTACAAATTTTTATTTTTATTTTTTATAATTAGTACCTTACAATAGGTTAGCAATAATGTGATTCAATCAGCTGTTCAGAGCCGTGTAATGCCGGTTATAAAAAATGTCTTTCGCACGCAGATAATAATGTGATTAAATTAGTTGCCAAATGATTGTTTTTTTTTTACCATACGATATTATCTATACTAAAGGGGAGGGGATGGGCCTAGCCTCACAATGGGCTAGCAATAAGTTGTTTATTAAATATTATTTTCTCTATTCTTAATATAAATTCTATAGATATCGATTTTATTATGTGGATTCAGCTACTTTAATTGGTTTATGAGGGGTTCTTCTAGCATGATCTAATATTATTCATTTACTTTAAATATTTGACTTTCCTTCTATCAATTTAGGCATATAAATACATTTAAAACGTGTAAGTCGAGCGTAGCATGTCGTGATTCAAAAACTGTCTTCTGCACGAGCATGAGCACATGCATAAATGCTAGTCTATATATAAAGAGAACACAAAAGGTGAATATTGTTTTTGGTGTCACCAAGCTTTAACAAAAGATTTGGACAAAAATGCCCCCAAGACAAAAAACTTAAAAGGTATCCCAAAATAATGCATCAAATAAAACAAGGGTATTTTCGTCATTTTAACAGTATTTTTTTAATAATTAATTATCATTAGGCACGGCTAGGATTTGTAGAGAATTCCATAAATTTTGCATGAATGAAATGTAAAATAAAACGTCAATTGCAGTTTTTAATTACCTCATTTCCATCACAAATTGAGAGGATTAAATTAATATCCATGACTTCTCTATCAAACCACTTGCATGTCTTATCACGACTTGGTATACACTTGTACTAAAAGATGTTCAAGTGGCCAACTTATAGAAACAATGAAGAAAAAAGAGTGTGAACGCTATCTTCAGTGGTAGAGAGGAATTTTTTATACTGTATATAGAATTGTTCACTCTTTGTGAATGCTATCTTCAGTGGTCAAAAGTGTGAATGCTATCTTCAGTGATAGAGAGGAAATTTTTATACTGTATACATAATTGTTCACTCTTTGTATACTCTTATCCTTACTATCTTGCGATTCCTCATTTCCTTTTGACCTTTTGCATTCCCCTGGTTAACTTTGTTCATTGATTTTTTTTTTTGAGGTCAAAAGGGGATACTCCATTAAAATAAATAAATAAATGAAAAAAAAAACCTAACTTACAACAATAAGTTCTATAGAGAAAAAAAAAAAAAAACACGCTTCAAGAGTTCAATTGGAGAAAAAAAAAAACTCATCACTTGTGCATGTTCAAATTGATAAAGGTTAACAAGAATTTTGTTTCAAAGTAGTGACTTCAAGTGTTTTTCTTTAACGTTTATTGATTTCAAAGACTTCTATAATGAGACATAGTTCAGAGCTTAAAGTCCATTGTCCCACCTCATGAAGCCACCCACACAACTGATCAAACCACCCCAGCTCCATCTAAACTCCAAACCTCTCCATTGACAACAAGACAAAGGCAGCAACGCATTGATAAGATTGAATGAGAAGTGTGCTACTTAGTACTACGGCTTAGTAGTATTTCTTTTCATTTGTAAGTAAGATGTTTTAGTTCGATTCCCGCCAAATGCGTAGTTAAACCACATTACTATGACGAGCTCATTGTAGGACTTAGCCCACTTCCCCACTCCTTAGCGAAGATATTATCGTTTGCTCCAAAAAAAAAAAGTTGAATGAGAAGAATATTCGTTAAGCATATGCTTCTAGGGTTACCAATTGTGGCTTAGTGTATAAAAAATAGGCCGTTTGTGCTCTTTTTCTTCGTTTTAGCTCGTAAACAAGTCTCTTTGACAAAAGCATAATGATCAATACAAACCTTTGAATCTGTTCAGAGACTACAAACCTAATTTTAAGTGTTCTCGTCACAGGATGTGCGAGCAGCGGACTGTTCTACGGGTTGATTGCAGCCTTGTTATATGTACCATTCATAATGCCATGCACGTACCGTACAAAGCTGTGCAGCAAGTACAAATCTAATCGAGTCCACTGCACCCGATTGGGTCACCATTTCTTCTGTGAGCCCTGCGCTATTTGCCAAGAATACAGGGAGCTCCAGTTCAGATGGATTGACTCTTCAATCGGATGGATATGAAATGTGCAAAGGAATCCAAGTTTACATCAGCAGCAGCCACCGTTTAATATGATGATGCCTCTAGGGAACCAGAATATGAATCAATGTTGATTCAAAACAAATTACTGTTTGTGATGAACTCTTCTCAACCGTTTGCAAACTTTTATGTACATCTACTGTCAGCTGGGCCGGGGTATGCATGCATGCTTGCCTCAAGGCCAACTTTTTTTGTGCTATATCGTGACACTGTTTTCCTATAGGAAAGAATAGTCTAAATCCTCATTTTTCAAAATTATCTTCTCGACTATAGGGAACTAAGAAGCATATATATTGGTTAATTAAAAGTTTTTATTTTTTTTATTTTTTTAGTTTTAGAATATTGAATATATAATGTAAGTCACGAAACATATGGATTTATTCTTTCCAGGATAGAAAACTAACCATTTGGAAATATTAATTATCCTTTTTTTTAATATTAATTAATTATCCTGACTGAAAAGAAAAGCATCCGCAACTGCAATTAATATTCGTCTGATATGCAGAACTCCAGAAATTATATATGCATTCATGAAATGTAGAATATAATGCAAATTGCAGTTATAAATTACCTCATTTCCATAAAAAAATTGAGAAAATTTAAATTAATATGTCGATGACTTCTCTATCAAACCACTTGTCTTATAAAAACCGACTTGGTACTTGGTATTAAAAGATATTTTTAGTGGCCAACTTATAGCAGCAACGGGGAAGAAAGTGTGAATGTAATACTCAGTTGTAGAGAGAAAATTGTTACTGTATGTGGAACCAATGAATATAGCGTGCACTCCTTTTTCTCCTTTGTTGCTATATATAATTTGGCCACTAGAACTCTCTTTTAATACAAGTACTATAAACATGTGTGTGTGGAAACTTCATATAAGAGGGATCTTGTTTTATTGTTCATGAAGTAGATACTCGATTCGTCATTCATTTTGTGGTTATCATGTCAATATTGTGTTCAATGATATCGATATGGACAATATATTTGGTGACAGTAATTGTAGTTTACTACACCAATGAATGTTGTTGTACCTATTGTCAATTGTCCTGATATGATATATTGTCGAGTATCCCTTTCCATTTACAGTGGAGCAGAATCCCTCTTCAAAAAATGTGCATATACATAATTATATTATAAATACATATTAGTTGAAACATTCAACTAAATTGGGTAGTTAACAAGGATCTCTTGAAGCAATATGATTTTCCCATTGATTTTAATTAGGATGTTTCGTGCGGTTGAAGAGGCCATGTGCTCAACGAATATATAAACCACTATTAAGGTCAACCTAGTTATGTTCTTCACTAGAGATTATAGTTTGGTGGGTCAACTCCTCCACTAGCAACCAAAATTTGTCTTACAATTTGTAGACACATTGCACTAGCTACCAGCATTTTTCTGCATTTTGCAAGAATCTAATGACATTCTGGTCAAAGTAAACTCTTCTGCAATTCCATGCACTGCATTATTATCCACCAGACACTATACAGCGAGCACCACGACTTTCCCACGATAAGTATTGAAGTTGAACAAATCCATATAATCTATCCCCTCTCTCACGTAAAGAAGGTATCTGTAGAAGAAAGTAAAGTCTCTATCAGAAATTTGACCAAGTAAACTTAACTTTCATTGAAGAGTTGTACTGTGTACATGTGATTAAGTTGGACATCCATGTTAAAATTATTTGTTTTGTTAGGCATTTCTTTTTTCTCGTAAGATCATTGACTTTCAATAGCTTTGTAAATAGCTGTTTGTATGTATGACTTTGATATATATCCCGATAGAAATCCGACAAGTAGGGTTTTGTTAATTAGTAAGAAGCTTCCTCCATTGCACAACATGTTCCTTTCATTAGTTGGAGTGGCACATATATTTATATACACATATATATATTAATGTACATCATGCAACTATTGTTTTCATCCGCAGCTCCCTGTCTCTATATATCTCTATTTCTCTGAGATCCCATCAAAAAGAAAATTAGAGAGGGAGTAGCTAGCTAGGCTAATGGGAAATCCAGAAGGAGAGCCGTCTGCGTTCGAGGGTGATTATGAACCCTACCAACCTCAGGTGGAGGTGGAGTATGAGTTACAAGCTGATCAACAATTTCAATACCAACAAGTGCCTGAAACCACCAGCCAAGACCAAAACCAACAAGATCAATACCAACCAACACCACAACCGCCACCCAGTGTACCTCAAAATAATTATGACCCCCAAGCACAAGCACAACCACAATCACAGCAAGGAGTCCTCCAGCAACTACCGCCATCCCAGCCTCAGCCGGTAGGGTTCCCACCACCACAAGGTCCTGCACAACAAAACCCCTACCAGACTCCAACGCCTCAGCCAGCGCAATTCCCTCCTCAAAGCCCGCAACAGTTCCCACCACAAAACCCACAATTCCACCAACAAGCAAACTATCAGCAGCCTAGGCCTGCACAGTTTCCACCCCAACCCCAGAATAATATGCAAACCAATCCAAACCCTAATCCCATGTATGCAAATGTGCCTAACCAACCTGGGGCGGCCTACCCTCCACAAGGACCACAACCAATGGGCATGGGGAACCAACGACCTCCAGCACAGTTTCCTCCCCAATCTCCAGCACAATTTCCTCCCCAATCTCCAGCACAATATCCTCCCCAGTCTCCAGCACTATATCCTCCCAAATCTCCAACGAATTATAATGAACAATATCAGAAGCCGGCAGTGCAATTTTCCACACAGAATCAACAATACCAACAACAGCAGCCTAATAATGGTTATGCTGCTCAAGGGGTTCCAATACAGCCGAGTCCTTACCAGCAGAATGTTGGCACTGAGCCCTGGAGTTCTAAGTTATTTGATTGCATGGATGATCCAATGAATGGTACGTACGTACGTACATACATACATACATATCTTAGAGCTTGTTTGTGACTGCTTTAATTTGTAAAAAACACTTTATTAGAAACACGCACGTTACTAAAAATTGAAGTTTTTTCGAGTGCTTCCCTAATGTTCTCCAGAAAGTGAAAGTGCTTTTATAACACAAAAGAAATTTTAACTTTATTTTTCCAAATGCGTCAAAAGTGTTTTATTGTCAAGCACTTTGAACTCAAAAACAGTCACACCCTTATTATTTCTCCTTCCACATCCAATGTATAGCTAGTTATCATATTTATGAAACTATGAATGCAGATTTATTAAAAACATTACTATGACATTTCAGCTCTCACAACGGCTTTCGTTCCATGCTTGACGTTTGGCCAGATAGCAGAGGTTGTGGATAACGGCACATCATGTAAGTTAAATTCCAAAACATATATCTAATATTCGAACTTCATATCATGTTACAAGATTTGACTTGATGTGAGAACTAACCCGAGTTGTGCTTGCGATATTGATGTACATATCCATATTAATGTGTAGCATGTGCGACCAGCGGATTGTTCTACGGATTGATTGCAGCGTTCATTGGGGTACCATTCATAATGTCATGCACGTATCGTACAAAGCTGCGCAGCAAATACAACCTAATCGAGTCCCCTGCACCCGATTGGGTCACCCATTTATTCTGCGAACCCTGCGCTCTTTGCCAAGAGTACAGGGAACTTCAAGTCAGAGGGATTGACCCTTCAATCGGATGGATAGGAAATGTGCAAAGGAATCCCAGCTTGCAGCAGCCGAAGGTTAATATGATGATGCCTCCAATGAACCAAAATATGAGTCAATATTGATTCAAACAAATTAATGTTTGTGATGAACTATCACAACCATTTGCAGACTTCTACTTGCGTTTACTACTTTACTTATGCATGCCTCAAGACTTTTGTTTTTCTTTCTTTCTTCTGTGTTATATTTACTTTCGTATATTGATAATTGTGGATACTATGAATATGTATGGCTTCCTTACTGCTGTAATATTGGACGATTTTCCATTTTCATGTATTGAAAATTCAAAAGAACGGCATTTTGTTTTGATGGTTGCTGGAGTCTTTTATTTGGGGAATTGAGATCCTCTCCAGATCTGTGTTTGGAGTCGATAGACTCGGAAATTCGGACCACTTAATTTAAATTTTGCAGCTCCCATTAGCCTATTCCACTGACCAATTCCACACAAAACCAAGCCTTTGAACGGCTCAAAACTCTCTCTCTCTTGAACGGTCCGAATTTCCGAGCCTGTTGACTCCAGACACACATAAATTCAGCCAGAATCACAACTTGTATTTGGGAATGTTAATAAGATTTGAATGCAACGTGTGCAGCCGCAAGCTAGGTCTAGTGGTAAGTTGACATATTCATTTTTATACAAGTTGGTAATTTCATTAGGTTAAATAAATAATTACTTGTAATTGATAAAGTATGACAACATTATGTGTCAATGATGTATAAAATTATCCAAATGAAATCTTTTATATCAAAGATGCATACGTGAATTAGACCAATTAATCAAAGCAATATGATCATCCCTTCCATATGAGTTTAATTCTCTCCATTCAAATTAGAACAAAAGGTAATTTTGTGTTTTATAATTTTCATTATCTCAGACAATTATGTATATTTAGAGGCTAGTTAGCTGGAGTCAATGCGTCTTTGCTGTCAACCGTGTTGATAATGTGTGCGTGTATGGATAGAAAAGTAAAGTGATAGGTTGTCCTTAGTTTTCTCGTCTGTATATAAAAGAGTACTTGTCGAAATTGTTTTGTCCATTGGGTACCATTGATGGTCAAACCCCTGTTCCCAGGACAAAGGGACGCCCTAGGTTGATCTCATATATAGGAAGTCCTTAAGAACAAAACGATCAAATGGAAGATCAACCAAATCAGGCGGCGCCGCTGGTATTCCACCCTCAAACGTCAAAATTAGCGGCACTACATGTACATGTACAAAAACTCCACCACCATCACCACCAACCTCAACAACTCCCCCCTCCAAATAACTCTAATATAAATTCCCACGTCAACATTATTAACATACGACCTAGTCCTGATCCCGACGCCGATAATCATCAGGCAAACCCCTCTTCCTCTTCCCATGAAAATGCCGGGACATCACGCTTTGATCATCAGGAATATCATGACCACGATCACGATCATCATCAACAAGCCCGACCATTACATGTAGTACAGTTCCCACCCTCAAACCTCAATAGTGCTAATCTCATCTTGCACCAGCAGATTAACAATTGGCCTCACCATAATTACAACGCGCACGTGCCTTCACGTTCATATTATCCTCCTCCTCATCACCACCGAGCTGCTTCGGCCGACGCATTTCACCATTATCATCATCGTCACCATCGAGATGCTTCTGCTGATGCAATTTATTATAGTTCACACCAAGTGCTTTTCCCTCCTCCCGCTGCCTACCAAATTGTTCCTCATCAGCAGCTGCAGCTGCAGCTGCAGTATTATAATCATGCTTCTACCGCAAGAAATCAACTCCTGCCGGCGTTGCATTGTAACAGTCATTTTGCTGAAACAGGAGTACCCATCCAAAACATTGAATACGTACCAGTGCTGCTGCCTCTGCCAGGCATCGATGGAACTTGGAAAACAGGGCTCTTCGAGTGCATGGAGGATCCCCCAAATGGTACTCCCAAGTCCCAATTTAATTCATCTTCATTTAGTTCCTACTACTTGTTTGAAGAATATAAACTATATATGAATTATATTAAATGGTTCCAATTCTACTTACAACGAGGTAAGATGAAAGTTTGGAGACAGTACCGGTGTGGTTAATCGTGGTCTGTTGGCCTTTCTATATGAAATTTTGACACCATCACTATATTTCTTATTGTGATTATTTCAGCTATCATGACGCTATTGTGCCCATGCTGGACGTTCGGTCAGATTGCAGAGATCGTCAATAATGGTCGAAGCTGTAAGTCGACTGAATCAATGTTCAACTTTCGTAATTAGCAATACTAACGTCTAGAATACTGGTCTGATTAACGGCTGGTGTGGTGTTTATGTTGTCATTCTTACAGCTTGTGCAGCCAATGCACTGATTTACATGTTGATCATGCTGTGCATCTTTGTGCCATGCTTGCTATCGTGCACATACCGGAAAAAGCTAAGGAACAAGTTCGACCTGCCCGAAAGCCCCGCTCCGGATTGCATCACTCACTTCTTATGCGAGTGGTGTGCTCTCTGCCAAGAACATAGGGAGCTCCAGCTCAGAGGCCTAGACCCTACTTTAGGTACCAGAGTTCAACATACTTACGAAGCAATATTCTAAACTTCTCTAGTATACGAAAATGAGATTCTAAAAGCAAACGAATTGAAATCAGGTGTTTCATATCTGAAATTTTTGTATGTTGTAGGATGGGTAGGAAACTTGGAGCAAATTCAGAGGATGCAGAAAAAGCGGCAAGCTGCTATGAGTCCGCCAACGACCCAAAGAATGACGGGCTATTGACCAAACCACGAAGTATGGCCTCATCGATCGTGCCTCATGCTCGTCGTGATTTTTGATCCACCGATGAAGAAGATGGTTCAGTTTCCTGTTTGACTTGCCTATAGAGGGGGGCAAAGAGGGATGGATCATCAATGTATATACCGATTCACACAACTGCTCCACCACAATCCAATCTCCGGCAAAATCAACAGGACATCATAATTAAAAAAAAAGTTGAGATTCCACCACAAAACCAATTGACAAAATGGAGAGTAGTACAATTATTTATAAGCACATGCAAGATCTCTTATTTCCCGGATGTGGAACCATACTTTCAACATACCCTCACATGTGGCGAATTTTCAAGCCTAATACTTGGACAACACAAATCAATTGACGTGCTGCAGGTGTGGCCGTTTGGCATTGCATATGAGACAACCTGCTCTGTCCATGAAAAAAGTGGGAGTTCCACCATAGAACTGATTGGCTATATGAGGATTAGATCAATTCCTTAGAAGTGCATGCAACGCCGCTTGCGAAAGTAATACTCAACAGTAATTTGGTGCTGGAAATGCGACTTAAAAGTACCAAACCAAGCAAACTTGCAAGCGCACAGCATCGAGCAAGAAATACTATTTTGTATAATGATGAAGAAATGGGGCAACAACAAAACACCCCCAACTTCTCTTCGTTTTTGTATTTAGCTTGAACGAGTAAATTTTACAGCTCAGAATATACGTAGGTAGGTACAACGTATAGCAACCGCAAAAGTATTTTTCTTTTTTTTTTTTGAAAAACAAAACCTATGAAATTTAATATTCGGCGTAAATACACAAATGCACAAAGAACTTGGATGTTTATGGTGGCTTCCCAAAGCCTAAGAAGTCCATTACGACCGCCACTGCATATCCTTTTCCGCTCGAGGTCCGTAGCAATACATCTTACCTGGATAGCACAAGAAAGGGATTAAAACTGGGGAAGCAATAGCCATCGACAATAAATCATCGAGACCTCTACCTAATCATTTACGATGATACGCTACACGCACAAGTAAAGGTAAAACCGAAAAAGAAAGGGATGTTTGCTTGCAGGAATAAAATGGCTCGGTGCAGGGAAAGTCAGAAATTCATACCACAGCAACTGTTCTTTGTGGTGTTCGATATAGTTGCCACCCGGCCATTTTTGATCCCGTGCCAGAGAAGCTACCAAGTCTCTCTTGAGGACGATGAAAAAGAGACATGGAATTATCAGCTGCTCCAATTCCTAACCAGTGTTCCGTAGCATTGATGGACAATACAGCAGCAGTGTGGACAGTAACATTTTTTACACATTTTATACCTCCTGCATACAAGCAACAGTAGCATTGAAAAAGGCTTTACTTTTAATTGGAATTTATGCATCTCAATCTGAAGGTAATTCGAAGGGAAACTTAATCGCTTCTACAAACTCTGACATAATTATGCGATTAAATTTACGATCTTGTAGAATCCAACCTACACCATTTTGTATTCCCTTGAACTTTTTCAATAATACAGTCGAACATGAAAGAATGAATGAAAATTCTCGAGTCCAGAGATCAAATGCTCTTACCCTCAACATTTTCCCAAAAGCGGAGTAGCCCATCAATTGAACCTGGAACAGAAATCACATGGTATAATTCCAGTAGCTCCTATTGGCACGAGTAAAAGCATTGCAACCAAAAATCTTTGGGGCAATCTAGGGAAATAACAATGCAAACAGAACAGGATGTAAAATGCCAACCTGTAATTATTCCTCTGTCAAGTGTGGAATACTCAACGCTTAATGTGGGGCCAGCATGGCATGCTAGAACCGCATCACATGTTCCTCGGGAAACAGACCACATTCTTGCGGTCCAGTCATCACTACCAGTAACAACTGTGTCTCCCACCATTCCAATCGACCTGCAAGGTTGACGTATAAAATACATTGCTACTCAAGAATCAACAATATTAACACATAATCTGGAAAAGTTATGCTACTTTAGCTTACCGAATCCATTTGGTGTGCCCTACAAGCTTGTGCATTGTCTTGCCCGCACGAATATCCCAGATGTTTGCAACGCTGATAATGCAAAAACTCAAAGGATTAAACTTTAGAAATTCATTGGATAAATTTTTAATTCATAATTTTATGAGCATGCTTAATCATCAGTGTTGATATACATACGCATCTCTACCACCAGCTGCTAAGATTCCTGTGGAGTCATCATATTCCATACATAAAACAGCACTAGAGCAACGACCAACAGTTGCCACGCAAGTGTCAGTTCTGACATCCCACATCTTTACAGTTCCATCATGAGCAGCAGTAAGTACACGTTCACCAGACAGCATGCGTGCACAGCTAACCTATGAGGATGGACCGTAGGAAGTAACTTTCAATAGGTAGTCTACATCAAGGACGAGATATTAATTTCGAAAATACTGGTCACTTTTCATGAACATCGCATCATAATGTAACAGAGTGCTTGATTTTTCATGCTCGGGAAGCTCACCGGTGCAACATGGCCTTTCAACTCTTCTAGAAGCTGAGTAGTTGGCTTATCCCATACTAAAACAGTTTGATCATCCGAACCTGATACTACCTTTCCTCGGTCAGAACTTATTGCACGGACAGCTCTGTAACAAGGCCCAGAAGGACATGACAGGAAGGACATTTAGATAAGCTGAATTGGTCATTACTAAAACGAATGGTTTTGACAAATGCACACTGCATGTGTGGGCATGCAAAAAAAGCCAACCAAACTGTAAAAAAAATTAGTAACACTAAAGTTGATTTTTAAAAGTTTAATAATAGAATATTAAACCAGAAACTGAACAAAAAACAAAACAAAATGATGTCATGATGATGTTAAGAAAAATAGAACAGTAGAAAACAACAAAACCTTGTGTGTCCTTTCAAGGTTGCCCGAAGTTCATTACCACGAAAACTAGGATCCCAGATCTTAACCTGAAAGATTGCTGAAACGAATTAATAATACCCCTTTACAGGACAGATTCCTGTGCAATGGAATTGTATGGTAAATATGTGGAGCTTACAGTGCAGTCTGTGCTTCCACTTATGAAGAAACCAGCATCTTCACGGTCACCCAAAAGATCCCAAACCTCTCTCTTAGTTACACAATGTAAAGCAGTAACGGAGCCACTATGACCTCTAAGTAAGCGAACATTGGTTTGAGTTTTCTTCTGGCCAGTGGCAGACAAATCTCGCTTACGAGGAGTCCCATTTTCATTTGCAGCTTAATGACAAGAAACTATGGTGACGTGCATGCAGATAATAAAACATCACATGCAAGCACATAATCTTAGCAACAAACATACCTGAAGAGCCACCATCAGAAGTCTATTTACGAACACGACTGAAAGAGGTGGATCTGGATGCAGGATCCCTGCTGAACATGCTCTGAACCCAGCTCCTTCCAACACCAGAAGCTTCAGCAGGCTGCTGATTCTCAACTGTAGCATCTTTTGAACGTGGAGATGCTAATCCATGAGAAAACATGGATTGACCCTTGAAATTAGTGATTCCCCAATAACCAATGAGTCGGTGCTCAATATGCGACAAGAACCCTCTCAGCTTTATCTGAAATATACAAAACCAAGGAACACCATCAGCAATGGATCGAAAAACCAAAGAAAACTTCAGGATTTGAGAGCTAAACCAATAGCCTGCATCACTGAAGACAGAACCAACAGAGAGCACCTAATATCATCTAGCCAACAGTGAGCACCTAATCTTGAGGAAATTATAATCCCATACAGAAAAATAGAAAAGGATACCAGTGCGACATTAAATAGAACTGGATAAACTGAAATAAAGAAAAAAAAATTACTTATATATTGTGTGCATCCAATGTTGTTCTTCTCTGCTATCGTTTCAATAATGTACCAAGCATCAGTATCAGGAATTCCCAACCCAGCCTTCATGTTGACATAAAAAAAACTCATAAACGAATGAAAAAGTTTGCAAGTGCTATAAAAAGTATAAATATAAAAGAAGAAACAGCACCATGTGTGATTCCACATATATTAAGTGCGCAGCCACCAAAGAGGCATAGTTGGCCGACCTGATGCAACAACAAAAAACAAACATTAAGTTGCAAAAGATTACAAATGACATGCTGCAATATAAGTTTCTTATTTCTTGTGCACCAAGTAGAAGACCAACTATATGCTACTTTGAAGTTTGTTTACTAGCTTCATTTAAGCTTATTATTTAAGTCCGAGGTACAAGGCTTGTACAAATAAAGTCATTAGCGAGTAAATCCAAAATGCATGATTAAGTAGATTTATCTACCAAGTAAAAAAATGATAAATGGAAGAAATCCATACTTGTTTGAAGACCTTTCCATTAGATAGTCAAAGTACCCTTCCCAAAAGCTGCAAAATCATAAAAATACATAATGTTACAATTGTGATTTTTGTTGGATAAAGAGCTTGCAAAATATAGATAGACAAATAATTAATACAGACAGAGAACCAACAATTCACTTGTAAGACAACTAGGTAGGACAAATGTAGTAATAAGTCAGTTTTTACAAAAAGAAATAAAAACTTGGGTGCTATAAACAACTAAACAAGACAAGAAAGCTACTATGTAGTGCAAAAGAATAGGAACTAAAATACAAATCTCAAGAATCTTATAAATTTACTTAAGGCGGCCAGGCCTATAAACAAGAGCAAGTAAAGCTTGTCAAGTACTGCAAGTATGTTACCATCAATAATGGCTTTCTTGTCATCTGGTTTATTTATTACTTTGGAATATCCACATTGTCATGATGTAAACAGTTTTACAGCTCTGAGCCTCAAGGAAGACTGGTAATTTAAGGCGTTATAACAATTCTGACTGACACATAGCGTAGACCCCTTACTTCCACTACTGAACAGAGACCTAAGTTAAAAATTGGACACAGATTATGGGAAAGCCTACAAGTGTGATAGATCAATGAGAAGAACCAACAACTTTTTGCTAAGGAAAAATAAACATCAGTATAATATATGCTCAAAATTGAGGGGCAAATGACTTGTAACCACCTACCGTAATTCCTCCCAGATGGACAAAGATATAAGATGACGCTCAATGTAGTCTGAAACATTATGTGCATCCTTCTTATACATGTCAGCGGATACTTCAAGGGCATCCCTGATGGTCGACATATCATTTCGGGAAGTTGCACAACTGATAGCTGTTTTGAGCTGAATTCAAATATGAGTTAATGTTGAAGATGATAAATTGAAAAAACAAATTATAAAAAAAAAAAAACATCTTATAAAGAGCATTAGCCTAATGACAATAGTGGGATAAAACACAGCATGCAAAACTGACTAAATAAATAGTCAACTATCTGTCTTCAGGTAAGCTTCTACAGAAATATGAATATAAAGGAGTGCTCATGTGTATGTGCGTTTTGGAAGGAAAGTAGGATATACTTGTGCCCTGAAACCGTGATCTAGTTTATAACTAAGAAAATGTTTTGTTTTATTGCTGGATTACAAAAACCATAGAAGTAAAGGTTTGGAAAAACAAAAGTTCAACAAAGGAGATTTTTATGTTACAAGATCTTCACGATTCACTATTATAACTAAATTAGACCCATCTTCTGAAAATAATGAGAGTTATTTGTATACCAATTCCTTAACAGCAAGAAATTGTTCTTCAGTCAACTGACAGTGCCATCCCTGATTTATGTGCTCCCTTATACATTCAACAAACCCACTGCCACCAATTCCCTCAGCATCAGATTCAATTAAAGCTGCAAAGCCAACATAGTAATGCTTGTTAATTAACGGGTCCATTGAACCACAAAGCAGATTGGAATTCCAAGAAATAGACATCAGAACTCTGCCTGGTCATAATACATGTTAGGGTTGAACACTCAGAGAATCATACCAAGGATTGTGCCATATTCAAATGAAGAAAGAGGATCATCAGTAGGTCCCAATTTCAGAAGACGCAGCCACAGACCCTGGTCGTCAAACACAATAAAATCATTTAACATTTAAAGTGAAAATGTCAAAAACTACATATCTGTAGAACTTAATAAATATTAATCAAGTATAAAGATTTTGTCCACCACTAATTGAATAACAGAAAAATTAAACAGGTACCTGCAGCTTAACTTTTATGTCCAAAACCATGCACTCCCTTTCCGCCTGAATGACCAGTAATTAATATAGTTAAGAAAGCTCTAAAGTAGAGTTACCACTACTACACATCATGTTGGAGTATAGAACTTACAGCCCTCTCCAGTGGAGTTAGGGTTTCTGATTTAGAGTCTTTACCACTAGAAACAGATTGTGAGCTGAGGGAGAAACATGAAAAGGACGCAAGATTAGAAGCCCCATTAAGATGTGTATAAGTTTTCAGTACTGACAAAGCAATACCCAACTTCAAATGACCAAGAATTGTTTGGTTTCATGGCCAGCCAAGATAAAAATAACTAGCCTCTAAAATCCCACTGCTCCACCGGTACTAAAGTTGCTAATCTCAAGAACAGTCATTGTTTCATGTGCAATAACATGCCATGTACATACCTAGAGGATAATCCACTTGCTACAGCCAGGATCTGCTTCCTCTTTTCTTTTTGCTCTTCTGTCCTAATGTTTGAGGGAAACCGTTCATATGTGTATTTGGCACCTGCTCCTGAAATCCAGAGAAAATGAGGAAAAAAGCAAAACCATATCAAACTTTTGTATTTTTTTTTTTTTGAACAAACGATATTATCTACACTAAGGGGGAGGTGGGGTAGGCTTAGCCTCACAATGGGCTAGCAATAACGTGGTTCAAATTTGCCCTTGGCAAGAATCAAACATAAGACCTCTCATTTACAAGTGAAGAGGAATACCACTAGACCGTAGTACTAAGTGGCCAACCATATCAAACTTAGAATCTTTAAAATCTTCTTCTGTTTAATAATTTTCAGTCTTAGATGAACAGAACATCAAATTCACCTGAATTTCTCACATCTATATCTGCAATCGTTATAATCTCAGGCTCTACTGAATTTGAAGGAAGAATTGAAACAGGATTTTGGCCCCGTCTAAGTGCATCTTGTAACTTGTCAAGTAGATTATTAGTGTTTTCTTCAGAACCCAAACCTCTCTCTAGATAATCCATGAAACCATGTGAATCCAGAAACTGTGTTAACTGTAAATACCAACACAGAAATAAGTATAACACTAGGAACCCAGTACAAGAAATGAAGACTAAAATGATACTGAAAGAAAAAATTTAGTTAACATAAACACATTGAATAAACGAACAGTACAAACAAACAATTGCCTGCTCTGCTAGAAATTCTGCAAACATGTTCAGTAGCACTAAGAATAAAAATCACAACAATTACAATAACGGTCATAACTATTGTAGTCACTGAGTACAGTACCAATACAACCAATGTCAGTTGGTATCTCGAAGACAAAGATGGGTTCAATGAAAATAAATACCATGGATTCTGGTGGTTGGCCAGTTGACCGAGAGCGCATCGTCAAGAATCCTTGAGTGTTGAAGAAATGAGTAGCAGAAATTTCCTTGGCAAAAAAAAAAAAAAAAAAAAAAAAAAACAAGTATACCAAATAAAATTTAAATGAATCCACAAATACAAATTATTAATTCCAAATCACGATCAAATTAGATAAAAGTTTCATACTATGAAGTTGTGGTAGCCACTTAAAAGCGATGCAAAGAACTTTAAGAACACTAATCTGCACAAGAAATCAAACACAAGGAATCTGCGTGAAAACTTAATAATCTCTGATCAGGCAGGCTTTAGAAGAACAAGTAGCCATAGCTCAGATGGAAGACATTGAGCATAACCACCGACTGGTTAACAGTTCTAAGGTGATTGCATAGCTTCAAGACCTCTCCAAAGTTTAAGTTAAAGTTTAAGAAAAAGCAAAAAGAATCAAGTGAACAACAATGACAGCAAGATGTTTGTTTGTAATCTGCAATGTTGGTCACAAAATTTAAAATCAATCGAGGCAGAATTGTGCACTTGGTCTTTTACTACAAAGGTGGAACCTCTGGAATAAGACATCAACATCTCATGTTTTACATGAATGAGAAAATGTTATTATCATTAGTACTTCATAATCATTTCCTTTGGAACCCAAGTATCACCTAAGTTGAAGGTCGTGATCCTCTCCCCAAGGTTTGTTGCCAGCTTTAGAAAATTGCTCAGATGAACTATATAAACCTTCCTTGATCTGATCTATCCCCACAACATTTGGATACAATAGTTTTGATATCTCTCCACGCAAATTGCCCAATTCTGGCTCTGGGATTGGAGGTATATCTTCTGTTGTTGTGATGCGATTACACGCAAGGTCAACAACAACTACCTAGAACCACATGAGGAAGGCAAGAAACAAATATTACATCAGTTTAACCTTCTTACATACAACAAAATTTCATCATGATTTTGTAAACTTTTGGAAGACGTGATAGAAGAAGTCACGGAAAAAGAAAATAAAGCTAACTCAAAAGAAAAAGGTAAAAAAAGAGAGCTGTAAGACAAATGTATGAAACCTAAATCAAATGGAATATGTTCCAACATATTGTAATTGGCTATGCTGATTGGGAACCTAAGAACCATAGAATGTGTATAAGACCACGATACATATTGTTCAACCAGCACATGTAGATTATAATAACTATAAATTGACAAAAGTAGAATTTATGCAGAATGACTTACACCATCCATGGCCAAAGTAGATGTATCAACGCCTGAATGGAGACCCATCATATATGGTGTAGGCGTATCAATATAGTCTACTCCACTGAAAAAGAGTAACGGAATGTAGACTTGCTTCAGCACAATAAACATGCACAAAAGAGGCAAGAGTCAAATACAAGAAGCATAAACGATGCTACTACAGCATTAGTTATTCCATTGAACAAAAAATAAGTTTGGTAGAAACGTCGGAGCATAAGAAATCTTTCCACCACCATAATGACAAACTAAATGAAGCATATATAAAGGGAAGAGGAACATCTTTTTCTAGACCCATAAAAAGCATTGCCGGAAGATCAAAGTTTACCTGCCACCGAAATGGATAAAGTAAATGGCAAATGGCTTCCGATACAAGGGTCAAAAGTGAATATCTGCCAATAAAGGACAAGTTATCTAAAAGATGCACAACTGCACAGCATTAAATTGTCTTAAGTAAGATGCTTACTTGTTTGATCGGATCAATATTCTCCTTTCAAGCAATACAGCAGTGAAAAATTTAATCAAGTTGTCGACATCTAGGCACTGGACCAATGTGTTAAGAACCTGCTCAACCTGTACAGTGTAGCAAGGAAGATATGGAGTGGAAGAGGTAGAAGACGAGCAAGAAGCTCGTGTGAATTTCAATTAATAATACTCAAAATATTCGTCTGAGGAGCAATGAGGCCATTGCTCCATTTAAGTAGCCTTTCCACTCAGAAATACCAACTCAGCATTCCATTACATAACCAACTCACTAAAGGACAAACCCTTTTATTTAATAAATTGAAATTACAACAAAAGGAATAAAATGCATTTCCTAACATCACTCCCTCCTTAAAATCAACCTTGTCCACAAGGTTTCAGAGCTAAAATGTTGGGAATCTGGCATGAAAATCATCATAATCCTCCCAAGTAGCTGTGCTCTCTTCTTGTCCAACCCACTGTACTAGCAACTGAACACCTGCCTTGTCTTCCTTCTTGTAAATTCTCCTGGCAATGATTGCCAAAGGAGCATCTGATGGATGAGAATCCCGCATCTGAGCTTCATCTGTCAGTGTTGGCAGAGCTGTTATGGGTGAATCCACATTTCCCATGTGCCTCTTAAGGCAGCTGACATGAAAAACAGGATGGATTTTTGTTCCCTCAGGTAGTTTGAGTTTGTAAGCAACAGGTCCTACTCTCTCCAATACCTCATAAGGACCGTAGTATTGAGGGTGTAGCTTGTGATAAGCATGTGAAGCCAATGTTTGCAACTGATATGGCAGTAACTTGAGATAGACTAAGTCACCAACAGAAAACTCTCTCTCAGTCCTTTTCTTGTTTGCATGAACTGCCATTCGATTCTGAGCCATTGCTAAGTTAGACCTGAGTATGGTAAGCAACTTATCCCTCTCAATCAACTCTTGTTCCACCGAGTCCATTTTTGCAGTACTTAACTCATAAGAAGTAACATGAAGAGGAGGGTACCCATATACCAATTCAAATGGAGTAAATTTTGAAGAAGTATGATAGGAGTATTATAGTTCCACTCTGCCCATGGTAACCATTTGACCCAATTCTTAGGTTTGTTTCCCACAAAGCACCTCAGATATGTTTCAACACACCTATTGACCACCTCAGTTTGTCCATCACTCTGAGGGTGGTACCCCGAGCTCATGCAAAGTTGTGATCCTTACAACTTAAAGAACTCCTTCCAAAAAGAGCTTAGGAACAACGGATCTCTGTCACTCACAATTGTAGATGGCATTCCATGCAGCTTGAATATGTTATCAACAAACAACTGAGCAACAGTCACGGCAGTATAGGGATGAGCTAAAGCTAAGAAGTGAGCATACTTAGTAAGCCTATCTACTACCACAAAAATGACAGTTTTGCCTTTGCAAGATGGTAATCCCACAATGAAATCCATGCTTATATCAGTCCAAATTTTTTGAGGAATTGGCAAAGGTTGAAGTAAACCAGGAGGAGATAGAGTTTCATACTTGTTTTGTTGGCAAGTATTACACTCTGAGATATATGTCTTTATGTCGCCCTTCATACCTGGCCAATAAAAACCCCTTTTTAGCCTATGATAGGTCTTCAATACACCTTGGTGCCCTGCTGCAGGTGTTGAATGATGCTCAGTTAAAAGCTTAAGCTTCCAAGTGGAATTGGGGCTGATTACTATCCTGGACTTGTACTTGAGTAAGCCATTATCAAGATGATAATGGGCTAACTTAGAACCATTGGCTGTTCCACTCCCCAAGGATGTAACCTCTGCCCTTTTCTGCTTGATCCAAGCATCTTCTTCATTGTATCTTCTTAATTCATCCAACCACCCAAAATAGGGGTAAGAGATAGCTTGACAACTCATGGATGAATGATTTACCCCATTAGAACACTGAGTGTCATGATCTGTGACTTGTCTTCTAGAGAGGGCATCAGCAACTACGTTATCAACACCCTTCTTAAAATGAATTTCATAATCGAATCCCATCAATTTGGAAACCCACTTCTGTTGGAATGTTGTATGAGCCCTTTGGTTTAGAAAATATTTCAAGCTGCAGTGATCAGTCTTGATTATAAAATGCCTACCCTGAAGATAGGACTGCCATTTCTTGACAGCATGTACAATTGCAATGAGTTCTCTCTCATAGGTGGAGAGAGCTTGATTCTTAGGTCCTCAGGCTCGACTAGTAAATGCAATTGGTCTCCCTTGTTGCTGTAGAACCGCATCAATGCCATTATTAGAGGCATCACATTCCAACTCAAATGGTAGTGTAAAATCAGGCAAAGCAAGGACCTGTGGAGAGGTCATAGTATCCTTGAGCTTCTGGAAAGCTACTTCAGCTGTTGGGGTCCACGAAAATCCATCCTTCTTAGTCATATGGTAAAGTGGTTGGCAGATTTTGCCAAAACCAAGCACAAATTTCATGTAATAACCTGTGAGACCAAGGAAACCTCTCAATTCTTTCACTGTAGTAGGCTTAGGCCAGTCCATGACAGCCTGAATCTTGGAGGGATCAGCCTCTACACCTTTGCTTGATATGACATGGCCCAAATATTCCACTCTACTTTGACCAAAAGCACATTTCTGCTTTTTAACATAAGGTTGGTGCTGCTGCAACACTTCAAAGGTCATTTTAAGATGTAACAAATAGTCTTCCCAAGTCTTACTGTAGACCAATATGTCATCGAAGAACACAAGGATGAAATGCCGCAAGTGGGGTCTGAATATATCATTCATAAGGCTTTGGAATGTCGCATGAGCATTAATGAGTCCAAAAGGCATCACTAATAACTCATAGTGACCTTCATGGGTTCTGAAAGCAGTTTTTTCAATGTCTTGAGGATGCATCAAAAGTTAATGATAACCGAACCGTAAATCAAGCTTAGAGAAAAACCGAGCACCATGTAGTTCATCTAAGAGATCATCAATCAGAGGAATAGGGTACTTATCCTTGATTGTTATGGCATTAAGCTCCCTGTAGTCCATACATTCTCCAGGTTCTTTCTTTTTTCTTCACAAGGAGAACTGGACAAGAGAAATGACTGTGGCTTGGTCAGATAAAACCTGCCTTAAGTAGTTCTTGAACTACTTTCTCAATCTCAGTCTTTTGCAAGGGACCATAATGGTAGAGTCGTATATTAGGGGGCTTAGATCCAGGAATGAGTGGAATTTGATGATTGTGAACCCTACTAGGCGGTAGCTCAGTAGGTAAGACAAAAATGGTGTCAAACTGCCCCAACACTTCTTGTAGTTGCTTAAGTTGCAAGGGGTTTAAATCACAAGCTTCAATCATTTTATCTTCAATGGAGTAAAGGAACAAGCCTAAATTAGAGTTGAAAATCTCTTTGTCAAGCTGTTGAAGAGTCACCTCTTGAATCGGTGGAGCATGAGTGTCACTATGAATGAGTTTATACTGAGAACCATTCTTGGCAAATTCCATAGTTAGTAGCTGGAAATCCCAGAGAACCGGGCTAATTGAGGAAAGCCATTTGACCCCTAATACTATGTCACACCCTCCTACTGGCAAGGAGTATAGATCCACACCACATTCATAACCCCCAATTGATAAAGCAGCATCAGTGCAGCAACCTGAACTAATAACCTTACCCCCATCCGCAATCATCACTTCAAATGGTTTAGTGGGTTGAGTGTGCCAAGCAAATTTCTTAAGGAGTCTAGAATCCACAAAGTTATGGGTGCTTCCAGAATCTAAGAGAACTGTGACTTGTTGACCATTCACTGAACCAATTACTTTCATTGTTTTCACAGTGGTCCTAGCAAATGTGCCATAAAACGCACATTCACTAAGTTCCATTTGTAAAAATTCAGGTGGAGGTTCTTCTAACAGTGGGGTGGTGATCTCCTCTTCAGGGTAAGCTAGATCAAGCATGAGGAGTTGCTTATTAGCACAATTATGTCCCGTGCGCCACTTTTCATCACAAAACCAGCACTCACCCTTCTCCCTTTTGCGCTGAATTTCCGCAGGAGTTAACCACTTCACAGTGAAATTAGAAGGTTTAACACTAGGAGTGATGTGTGGTGTAGTAGGGGTGTGTAACACACGAGGCTGTGGAAAAGGCTTAGTATAGCCACTCTTCAAATCACACAATTTAGCATCAAGTTGTAAGGCAATTGAAATGGCATCATGCACATCAGAAGGGCGCAGAAGCTTAACATCATATTTAAGTTCACGTTTCAATCCACCCAAGAACAACTCTTTAACAATATAGGCCCTAAATCATGGGTTCTATTTGCCAAACGCCTAAATTCAGTGATGTAATCTTTGAGAGTACCTGATTGTTTCAATTTGAAGAGCGCTTCGGCACTGTCTTCAAACTCAGAGGGCCCAAATTCTTTGCAAAATGCGTGTGTGAAATCCCCCCACCGAGGAGTGGTGCGCAAGCAATCGTGCCATCGAAACCACTGGAGTGTCTCTCCTTCCAAGTGAAACGAGACTGTTAAGACATTCTGAAGCTCAGGAATGGAATAGTAGGTGAAAAACTGTTCCGATTTATAAATCCAAGCAAGTGGGTCTTCACCCGGAGTGAATCGGGGAAAATCGATGCAAGGTTGCCAGTTATGGCGAGGCCGATGAGGATCAGGGTCGCCGGGATCGTGAGGATCGGCGATGAGTGGTTGGGGAGGAGGATCGGTATCAGAAGTGGAACCTCCGCTCCCACGAGCACAAGCTTGCTCCCGACGAAATTGTTCGAAGGAGATAGCCATTTTTGAATCGATGGATTCAGAGAGTGCAGTAACAGAAGATTCCAAAGCAGCAACTCGAGCGTCCATGTGAGATAATCGAGTGTTTGGCATACAAAGAGGGATCCAGGATCAAAATTGGGTGATACCAATGTTAAGAACCTGCTCAACCTGTACAGTGTAGCAAGGAAGATATGGAGTGGAAGAGGTAGAAGACGAGCAAGAAGCTCGTGTGAATTTCAATTAATAATACTCAAAATATTCGTCTGAGGAGCAATGAGGCCATTGCTCCATTTAAGTAGCCTTTCCACTCAGAAATGCCAACTCATCATTCCATTACATAACCAACTCACTAAAGGACAAACCCTTTTATTTAATAAACTGAAATTACAACAAAAGGAATAAAATGCATTTCCTAACACAATGGCTGAAACGATATCTGCATTAAAGAAATGCCATAGGGTTATTGAACAGCCAGGTCAAATCTTCAACAAAAGGAAGAAGCATACTCATAACGAAGCAGGAAAAAAAATGGAAACTGTACATCAACATGGGGGAGCCCATCCTTTCGTGTCATTATTCTAGTTTCTAAGCAACAACACTAACTTATGTACTAATGTTAAACAGAAAATAAACAGCTCTATATAAATTCTAAAGCTTTGTTTAAAGTTCAAACATACTAATCAGGAAAACCGCTAGCATAACGGCTCCAATGTCCTCTGAAACTTTGTGTTTCCACAAATTTCGCATAATCCTAAATGTATAAATTTGCGCATTACCTACGCGTCGTTGCTCAAGTTTAGAGACTACAACACTAAAACACTAACTTAAACTATGCAAAGCTCAATAATTTCTTCAATAAGTTTAATAACAACGAAGCGGATTCTCGAAGAATGCAGAGAGCAGAGAGCAGAGTGCAGAGCACAAAGCAAGCGTACCGGTGAGAACAATGGGGTAGCTCCGTGGAAAAGTGTACGCGTCATTGGAATCAAAACCTGACGAATAGAACAAAACACCAGCCGGCAACACACACTGCATCACAAAAAAATAATCATATCAATCACAAAAATTGGACGAGCAGAAATCGAAGCAGTGAAGATTGGGCCGTTGTGGCGGCGGAGTGGCACTTACGGTGGGGAGCTGAGGCGGCGGAGGAGGGTAGAGAGTGTGATTGGGCGGAGGGTACTGATCGAGAAGAGACGTCTGGTAATACGTGCGGAAGCCGTGGAATCCTTTGGCGCCGTCGAGGGTCCGAATCTCGGGTCCGATCCCGCACACCACGAAGTGCTCGAAGATCCGAGCCATTGGTCAACGATCGTCTCTCTCTCTCTCTACACACACAGATAGTATGAGAGAGAGAGAGAGAGAGAGAGAGAGAGAGAGAGAGAGTGAGAGAGAATGGGGAGCTGAGATCTGGTTCAATTGGATTCAATCTGTCAACAGCCGCTGAAGCTCGTGCCTTTGGATTTCAATCATTTTTTCCGGGTGAACTGAATCGTAATCATTAAATGTTACCAGAAAGAAATCCATTCTTTCTCGTGTTCCCATGCATTCAACTCTCAAATCCTCGTCTTCGTTACACTTATTTTGTGCATGGTTGTTACACTTATTTTGTGCATGGTTGATACTTGACCGCCCATCATTCCATGTCGTAAAACATTACTGATTTTATTGTTGTTCTATAAAAAATTTCTTTGAGGCATACGTACAACACATCCAATATACTTTTTCACTTCAGCCACTTTGTTTATATTCGAGTATTTATCATAAATAATCAGAATTAAGACTCTAATTTTATAAATGTCAGTTTTTTTTTAAAAACTTTCAAATATAACTAAAATCACATTTTAATAGTCTAATACCCTCCAAATTAAAAATAATACAACCCTGAAAATTCAAACCTTATATTTTTATTTTTTTTATCAAACGATAGATTTTGTTAGATTAGTCATGGATTTGAATACCGTCATGCAAACAATCATATGTATTCATCAAGAACTGAATTTCTTTTGTTTATCAATCACGGCCTCATCTCCACCTCTCCAAGAAATAAAAATGTTCTTTTATTCTTTTCTGTTTTGCAATTGAATTTTTCTTAACATACAATTTTGATGATTTTAAACAAAAGGTAAAGGTTGTGATTATCATATGATGGATGACTACCGTCGTCTCCTTCATATGATGCTCCACCCTCCTTTAACTTTGCTTCCCTTGATTTGTTAGGTTTTGAAGACAAACAGAAAGTATATAATTAATATAAGAACATAAATTATAATTTTTTTAATAAATTGAGCATTACACCATAAGAAGGACAGAGGATGGACACAGGGGGAGGGGTTGCCGCGGTGGGTGGTTCGGGATGGGGAGGAGGCAAACGTGGCTGCGATGGTGAGATTTCTGATAACCCAAGTCACTGTATTCTGGTATGTTATTGGGTTTAGAGTAATTGTGTATCAATTTTTAGGGCATTTATGTCACATCCCAATCTTGACTCTGCCGTAGCACGATATTGTCCGCTTTGGACCTCGGCCACGCCCTCACGGTTTTGTTTCTGGGAACTCACACGAGAACTTCCCGGTGGGTCATTCATCTTGGGAATGCTCTCGCCCGAACTTGCTTAACTTCGGAGTTCCGATGGAACCCGAAGCCAATGAGTTCCCAAAAGACCTCGTACTATAGGAGGTGGGCATGTACATATAAGGCATATCACCCCTTCTTCGTTGATCAATGTGAGATGTTACAATTTAGGTCTATTCATGTATTTTTTTTAACCATAATTGATAGTTTTTATAAAAACTAACATTTATGAAATTGGAGGATAAATTTTGGTTATATATGATAAATTCTCTTTATATTCTATAGTTCGGATATCAATCCAATTCTCCGTTACTTTGTAAAATATATCTAAGATAACAAAAGCCCTCACTCTTTGTAACTTTTTGATCTCTTGCCATATTAATTTCATAATTGTAAATATTTATTTTCCTATTATTTACAATTGTTTGTACAAAATAACCAATATAATTGGACATTATTTCGATTAATCTGTCAATAATTGTACCCTTTTACATGTGTCAGTTAATTATGAATGTTGTTTTTTTTTCATTTTTTTTTAAATGAGTGATAACTGGTGGCAAGCCACAGTTATCCACCATTTTCGAGGGCATGAAGACTCACAGAGACATTTCAGCCTCCCATGGCCACAAGTGTGGCTTCCACACCAGACCTCCAGTTTTTAATTTGAAGGAAGTCTCGCAATCTGTCATCTACCACTGGGTCACTAACTCGTGGTAATTATGAATGTTGTTGAACTATCTTAATTCGAGGATATATGTGGACCCATGGCCAAGATGTATTGTCAAAACGCTTTTAATGATCGAGTTGGAGGCAGATTGTCTGCCCTCCCATTATCATGCCCTTCCCATCCCCTCCTACATTGTGTGGTCACGGTTAAGCCATGTCAACATTTTATATTGATTTTTTTATAGAGATAATAAGATATGTTGACGTGGCTTAACCGTGACCACACAAATAGGAGGGGATGAGAAGGGCATGATAAAAGAATGGCAGACAATCTGCCTCCGATCGAGTTAGCGACAAATACACTTTGATTGAGTCGTGGTCCCATGATGCTGTGGATGGTTGGAAACTTGGGATGAGGGTGCCTTACTTTGTCGTTGTGGAGATGAGTCGACCGTGGTTTCCTTCTTGGCTTAGTTGTTATTGTGTATGTTTGTGCCGCATAGCAGTTTGTGTGGTCTTACTTTTAAGCAACAACTATGTGTGATCCTCAGATACGTCACTACTGATCTTTGCAATTTAATTAATTGTTTGCAATGAAGAATCAGTAGCGATTTTAAGAGAGACTACCGCGCTCCATGATTAGCGCCTATCATCTCTAGGCAAATTCTGACCTTAACTCTTTGTCATGATCTCTATATAGTTATTTGAGAAAAAAAGAAGTCTAACTATAACATTTGTATGGAGAAAATAAATCAATCATCACTAAATAAATAAGAAAGTGGACAACATGTATTTTCTCCAATTGTTTAAATGATTTAATAACAAGAACGAAACAGTTTGTATTTTGTATTATATGCCAAAAGTTGCATTTTAAGAAAAACCCGGTACCTTAATAACTCCATAAGATAACTCATTAGAAACAATGTTACCTACATTTTATTCTTCTTTTTTTTTTTATATGAAATAAATAGCAATATTGGGTTTATTATTGAAAAAAATTATATATACATAATAACAAAATCATTTATATTGATAAAATACATGTAAGTATTGTAATCATATCTCATATTTACACTCAAGTATATCAATGTTACATAGGTGCAATATAAGATATTTACCCAAGTTTCATCGAAAATGTTACGCACATGCTTTAATTAGTTTTGGCAAAATTCTACGAAAATTTTACAAAACCACTTTTTTCGCAGAATTTTTTCCACACCACAAGCTTGTTAAAATTCTTGCTAAACAATGTAAAGAGTTTGGAAACGATACTAATTAAGGTTTCCTTGCTGGCTTTACAAATTGCATTTTTCACCAACATTGTTGCTCACGTTTTTTAATCGTTTTTTTAAATAAAAAAACAATAATTCATTTTAGAACTAAGCCGATCTGTTTACACATGTGTATGTGTAAACTCCATATAGTCAGCACACAGACAATGTTTCATACGTTATCTTGAACTAGCATCTTGTCACACGCGTACGCATGCGACAATTTGCCTTTGTATGTTAAATTAAAGTTTTATTATGATTTTTTACATAATAAATTAAGAAATTCAATTTTTTTATTTATATATTTTTATTAATAATATTTTTGAAAATAAATTAGAAGTTAAACATAAACCACCCACTAACGTGGGGTTTTGCTATTTTTTTCTTTCTAAAGTTTAAAATTTTAAATTCGTTCAAAATTAATATTTGTTGAATTATTTTAACTTCTTTTAATTCAATAGTAATTTAAAAAAATTTAAAGACAATTTATGGTATTTTGAAATTAACCTGCTTGCATGCAGTTTGACTACTTTGGCCTCCCAGCCATTCGGTTCTTGTCCATTTTTTCCACCCTGTTATGAAAGTGAAATTTACCTGTACTAGCTTTCAAAAAAAAAAAAAATTTACCTGTACTGTACTACGAGAACATGAGACATGCAGTGTTACTTTCAACAGGTGGCACGCCTTGCTACCTCACACTAATCCTCCTCGAATCCATATCTACACATTCAATCAACTCTTGTGCAGTACGTACGTCGCTATGCTTTTCAAAAGTCTCTCAATTTCATAAAAATTGCAGAGCTGGGTGTAGCTACATAAGCTGCAAAAGTACAAATCGAAATATTTATTGGTTATATAAAAGAATTCATATAACTTTGTTTGTTTATTTATTTATTTAATTTTTGTTTTTTTGCGACCATTCGGTTAAAGTTTGTTTTGCATGTATTAGGGTAAAGGGAGTATGATATTCTCTCCTTCTACTCTCTCTTCCCTTCCTTCCCATTCTATTTGAATAGTTACAATTAAGTCACATCAACATTTTATACTGATTTCTTTATAGAGAGAGAAAGACAAAGATAAAAGTGTGAGAAGAGGGGAGGAAAATGGGGAGGATTAGGGGGGAAAGAATCGTAGTCCAGGGTAAAAACTCATTCACATGCAAGATTTTACTCCATTATCAATCAGCCATTGGATCTTGAACTGTCTATAAGTATTAAACAAAATGAGTCCATCTATCTCACACAAAATCAATAAAAAATGATTCCTTCAGAAATAGCTGTGGATGCAAATTTCTTCCTCCTCGATCTTGGACGATTTTGCACCTACAAAACAATTAACACCTTAGGTTAAGGCCAAGAGCCTCACGCGCCCACGATGAATGGGGGGGGCTTTGGCCGAAGAACCTCCGATGCCAAAGTTAGAATTTAGAGAGAAAGAGTGTTTAGAGAATTTTGGGATTTTTGCCAAAGTGTTGGAATTAGCTTTTTGGTGAGAATGGGAGTATATTTATAGGGATAGGAGGTGGCTAGGGTTTTTAGGTTTAATTAGCTAATTTATTTGGCTATTAAACATAAAATGAATGTTTTGGTGGTTTTTTGTATAATTGGCTAATAAAAAGGAAGAAATGGTGGGAAAAGGTAGAAAAAAGGTAATGGATTAGGTTTTTCAATGGGATAGCCGGCCCTCTTGTGTTTTTAGGTTTGAGTGGATGTTTCAAATTGACAATTAAGGGATTGATTAGGTAATTAATTCCTTAATTAGTCAATTATTATGATTTTATGAAATATGAAAGGAATAAGTATATTATTTAGCTAATTGATTAGCTAAATAATGAAATGGGAAATATATGAATAAATTAGGCTTTAAGTTGATACCTATTTTGGGCACTTTTGACTTGGTTGAAAAAATGATTCTCTACTGCTCGCGCGTGTAGGAAACCCGGTATGCCTCGAGGGTATTTTTGTCCTCTTTTGTCCAAAAGTCCACGTGTCGCCTAGTGAATATTTTTGGCTCCACAAATGCCCCCACACCTGTTGGGCTGCTCGCAAAAAAGGGCAGCAGGTGTAGAGATCTTCTTGCTTTAGGAAACTTAAGACTGCTTCCTATTTT